GAAATGGGAAGTCCTGTCCCACCCGCCGTATTCTCCAGACGTTGCTCCCTCTGACTATCACTTGTTTCGATCAATGGCACACGGCCTGGCTGACCAGCACTTCCGGTCTTATGAAGAAGTAAAAAATTGGATCGATTCGTGGATAACCTCAAAAGATGACCAGTTTTTTCGACGCGGGATTCGTACGCTATCCGAAAGATGGAAGAAAGTAGTGGCCAGCGATGGACAATACTTTGAATCATAAATGTATAATCAGTTTTTTACAAAAGCCTCGAATTTCGGAAAAAAAACGGCGGAAGCAAAGTTGTACACCTAATAATTCTTATTTTAATTAACTTACTTGAGGAAAAATAATTTCTTATCATATTTAATTTTAAACTGCTGAATAGAAGTAAGGGAAAAACAGGAGGTTGAAAATATTATATATCGTATTATATGTAATATACATATATACATATATACATTTTTTTTTAGAAATATTAATTCATTTCTTACGTTAGAAATAAAAATGTTTATATCATAGAGTATACAATTTCATCAGAAGCATACTTACTAATTCATACTCTACGAGCGCAATAATATTTTAATGATATAAGTCGATCAGCCGAGCACGCTTTCTTATTAAGTAATTTAATGTCACAAAGATATATGAAGAAGAAATGATAAAAAGATTATTGTTGATTTCATCTTGATCAAAAAGTTCCCGGAATTCATTCAGAAAATTCAAAATACAGTTTTATTCATCAAAAGTGATATTGTCCCCTTCAAAATACTCTCCATCGACTGCAACGCACTTATGCCAGCGCTTGATCCAACTCTCGAAACATTTCTGGAACTCTATTGTCGGTATAGCCATCAGAGCTATCTTCGATTTTTCCATTACCTCCTTTCGGCTGTTAAAACGCGTTCCCCGTAATGGTTTTTTGATTCGAACAGAAAAAAATCGCAGGGAACCATATCAGGTGAATTCGATGGCTGTTGGATGGTATTCGTTTTATTCTTGGTCAAAAATTCACTCGTTGCAAATTTAACTCCATTTTTAAAACTATAAAAAATCGAAAATACGTGCAGAGGTAGATGTACTCAAGACGGCGTAACTTTTACAAATGTCAAGCTATGGTGATAAAATTTGGTGGGAATGTCAATGATAGATGTGGTAATCTAACCAAAAAAACAGAACTCAAATCAGATAATTCAGAGCATCACCTGGTGATAATTCCGGGAACTTTTTGATCAAGATGGTATAAACATATATCATACAATGACAATTTTACGTTATTCGTAGCATATACTTTAACAAGTTCTACATTCAGATTTCGAATCGATGATAATGATGGGAATAGTTGACTGCATTAATCGCTCAATATCTACGCGTCTCTCTCGATCGATCTCTCGATGAACATTTTTCATATAGCATGAAGCAAGATTATGCGAGTGCCTCGATTGTCGTCGATCGCAATTTCTACACGAGACTAGGTTCCACGACAATTTCGATGTTCAAGAACTTATACGCTATCAATATCAATGCATATCTTCTCGCATGTGCGCACTTGACCCTGATAAAGGGAGCGTTATGACAGACGTTGCATTATGAGATTGCAATGCAAGCTCATAACGACTATTCAGTGATGGAATGGGAATGCATTCCATTCATTGACTAGACAGACTGAATTAGTAATCCACCTCCAGCAGTGACAGGCATTCGATATGTGATGTTCTCCGGGCTTATGTTTTGCCACTTAGCATCGGTTATAAAACTGCCGAAACTATAATCATGCAGGACAATGCTCGATTCCCATATGACAAATGGAACGTAACATTTTTTTGAGCGATGTGATATCGCATGTTCCATCATCCCACTAATAGTCTGAATTTGAATCCAAACACATTTGAGACAAGATGGAATGACGATTAAGACGCAAAGAACAACCACATAACTTGTATGCTGGGAGAAACTCTTAGACAGACTTGGAATGAAATTTCAATAATTTTAATCCAGAGAAGCGACAACAACTAGAAGCGGTGATTAATCGGAGAGGAAGAAACACACAATACTAAATACACTTTGTGTGTATTGATACATGTTCATCTCCACCTCACACACACACGCACGCAAGCACGCACACGATGTGCAAATTTCGACCAGCAACCTCCACATAGTACATATTATGTACCGCTAATATCGGCGATAAATGTTTCGAGAAATGGTAAGAGCATTTCAAACATCTCTAGCAAAGAAACATCACATAATAATGTAAAGGATATGTTTTACACGAAAAGGAGTTTTAGTTTTCGACATTTGTATTAAATTTTTTAAGACAAATCTTTTTTTATTTTATAGAGTGTCGAAGGTATGTCATTTTAGAAAACAGAATATTGTTCTCTTATTCAGAGTACAGAGGAGATTTTGTATTCCGTCATTAAAGTTAAAGTTCTTTTTAATTTTAAAAGATTTCAAAAACATCGTTTGTAATAAAATTTTTTGTATGGAACATGATTTAAAGCAATGTTTGCAAAGATTTACACATTTCGGGCCAATTCCGATGCATTACCCACACTACCGCTCCAGGCTCAGCGGCCGGGCATTTACATGATGCTCTGGCTCAGGAGCGCCTCTGTAGCGGAAGTCGTACTTTACATTATTAAAGAATATTTTTCTTGCAAAATAATTATTTTCTTAAAAAAATCAAATACTAAATTTTTAAAAATATTTTGTCATAATAATTCTTGCCTACTAGAAACTATTCAATAATTGTTATAAATTTACATCGAGAAATTTCTAGAATAACTAACATGGAATTTCCAGATTCATGTATTTCCTGACTTCAATGTTCGCAAATCTTTTATAGAAATTTCGATGTAAATTTATAACAATCATTGAACGGTTTCTGACAGGCAAGAATTATTATGACAAAATGTGTTAGTTATTCTAGAAAAAAAAATAAAAATAAACAACCTATACAGGGCCACTAAGAGTCATAGGCTGATGAAGGTGCCGATAAGATTTTATATCATTAATCGATTGTGTGTAATCTCCTTTAT